AACAACCATTCCATCTTTCTCACAACCACATGTGTAAATCTCCAATCAAACCTCCTGTCATCAGGTCAACCATCTAGACCTACAGCTTCTGCCTCCAGAGCATGACCCAACTCCACACCATCTCAGCTCATCTGCTGCTGAAACTCCCATCCGTTCTGTTGACACCTGAATATTCCAGGACTACCTTTTCATTTCTGTGACCTGAGCTTGTCTAACACTCTCCTGCCAGTATCGTAACTCACAGCAGGTCCTCTTTGCCTATCGCCCCTTGTTAATGGCCATACATCAGTTCTTGATAAAACAAGATCATAGAACCCCTATACTGTGGAAGCAGGCCATTCGGCCCATCAAGTCTGCACTGACCCTTCGAAGAACATCCCATCTAGACCCACTCCTTTACCTTATCCCTGTATTTCCCGTGGCACATCCCCAAACACTATGGGCAATTTAACATGGCCAATCCACCTCACCTGCACATCTTCGGACTTTGGGAGGAAACCGGAGCACCCAGAGGAAACCCTCGCAGACACGGGGAGAGCGTGCAAACTCCACACAGACACCTGAGGTTGAAATCAAACCCGGGTCCCTAGCCCTGTGAGGCAGCAGTGCTAACCACTGAGCCACAAGTGACAACTATGACTTTCTAAATTTCTTTACAATTTGCTCCTCACTTAAGATTCCCTTGAAAGCCATCCCCTTCTGGTAATCTGTCCTCTTACCTCTTTTTGAGACTTAGTGACAAATTTTATTTCCTAATACTTTAGGAAGCTATACATTGCTGTTGCAATTAGAACAGTGTTAGTGTAAATTGTTGGCTATTCAAATAATCTTTAACCTAAATAAGTAGGTTTGCATTAATAAAGGCAAAATACTGCAAATGCTGGACATCTGAAACAAACACAGAGAATGCTGCAGAAACTCAACAGATCGGGCAGGATCTGTGATGAAGAAATAGAATTAATGCTTTGATTTCTGAACAAACTGGACTCAAAATATTAATTCTGTTTCTGCCTCCACGGATACTACCAGATCTGCTGAGTTTCTCGTGGCTTGTACCAATGCAGGACTGAAAATGACATTGGGAAGGTGCTTCGTCAAGCAGTTTTCCAGCTTAGATTAGCCATGAAGAGCGAGTGGGTCTGCTGTATAAGCTGTTAAACACAGCATTAAAACTGGTTTAATCACTGTGTATAATGTTCAGTGTTCCCAAAAAGCTCTTCTGCCCATTATTTAGGAGTTGCTTTCAAAAGAACTTTTTAAAAAAAGTTTTAAAGACTTACAGCCTTCTGAGAGAAAAGATTTTGTTTCATCTCTATTTTAAATGCTGGTCCCTGATTTTTGAACAGTGACACCCAGTTTTAATTTCTCCCATAAAAGGAAACATCCTCCCAACATCTGTCCTGTCAAGACTCTTCAGGATCTAATAGAATTCAATCTTGCACTCATCAGGCCATTTCACAAGAATACAAAGTCACATGGTAAACCAGAATTCATGCTGCATGAGAGGAGAGTGCTGAGACTCTGGCCCAGCTACATTGACATCTAGTTGCATCCTTCCATGATAAATAAAGTCAATAATACATCTGAGAAGGAGGATGATAAACAGAACACTACAAAGAAGGAAGGCTGCAGTCTCTCTTGGTCATTGGAACTACGCATCATCTCATGAATCGTGGAGATAAACCTATCTGTCCTGTGTATGTGGGGAGAGAAAATAGGAACTGCTGATGCTGGAGAATCTGAGATAACAAGGTGTAGAGCTGGATAAACACAGCAGGCCAAGCAGCATCAGAGGAGCAGGAAAGCTGACGTTTCAGGTCTGGACCCTTCTTCATTTTCTGAAGAAGGGTCCAGACCCGAAACATCAGCTTTCCTGCTCTTCTGGTGCTGCTTGGCCTGCTGTGTTCATCCAGCTCTACACCTTGTCCTGTGTATGTGTTGTTTTTTTTCCATCTATTTGAGTGCTCCATTCTCACAAGATCCAAGTGGTGGGACAAAGGTTTGCTGTGCTGAGTTTTTATTGCAATCGCTGTGAGTAACGTAATACCTGTCAGAACATCAGTGAACAACAGGATCTAGGAAGATAAATGATGGTGGAGTGAGCTACTTTGTTAAAAGTTTGTATGCCATTTTGCTCCCAGAAGGGTGAGGTTTAAGGCTCAGAGACCTGACGGCAAGTGATATATGAGGTTAGAGAACTGCTTGACAGATTCTCCTATACATTACTTCAGGCCCCAATTAACACTGATTCATGCAATTAGAAGACTTCATGGGGCTTGTGATGCAGGCTCGGCTGCACATCCTAATGAGGCCCTGAAGGGGGTTAATGATGATGTTGCCCATGAACTGTTGAAAACAAGAGCCTAAGCAATTTGTGTTGCATTAGATATTTTTAATACACTTATGTTTCTGGCACTATTTGTACACTTATGACACCAAATAGACCAGACTAAGCATTTTTCTATGACTGTGTAGGACAACTAAGGGTATTGGCGAACAGTTAGGTCCTGGCAGCAAATTAATTTTTGATTTAATTATATGTTATGAAATTTACTCAATCCTGATTTTAATGGTAGGTGCGCCCTTAACGTTTGACTGAAAAACACTCCAAATAAATTGAACCAAGCTGTAGCTGTTGGCTACTCGGTTGTAATTCCTTTAGTCAAGCCCCTGCCCACCTATTATGGATAGGAGTCATGACACAATGATCGAGTATGCTCAGAACATGAAAAACAAAGCAAGACAGGAAAGGAATGGAATTATTAATATTCTCAGCCTCCACAATTCATGTCAAGCTAACAGATCTTAAGGATGTGCAACTGGAAACCAGTCCCACGTTAACCCTAGTACTTGACAGGAGTAGGGATGATAGCTACAAGTATGCACCAGTTCATGCCAGGTTCCATTTAATATTGGAGACCTAGCCTGACGAGAAAAGATATGGGTCAATTTGAAGTTCCTCCATTGATTGCCACAAACTTTGGAGATTTATTGAATCTGCACCAATGCAGAAAATTTCATTGCTGCAGTCTATTAAATGTTCCATTGTGGCCTTGGTAAATTTATCTGCTCCAACTGTCCCTGTGGAGCTGGACCTTACGGTGGACTTCAGACAAATGAGAGGGAATTGCGTTGAAATGTACAAAAATATTCATGGACTGGAGGCAGGGATGATGCTGCACCTGACTAGGGGGACTAGAACAAGGTAACCTCAGTGCCACATCAGCAATTTTAAATTGTACTGTTTTGACATCTAAATAAAATGCAATCTTATCTTCAGCATCCACACACCATCTCAATGCCAAGATGAAGATCATGGTTTACTGGGCAGCACAGGGTAATGTTTTTTGCAAAGCTAGTGATGAAGTGCCACAAATCAGCCCAGCAATTTGTGGTGATACACACGCATATCTCATCCACGTCAAAATTTTCTAGCCATTCATTAATAGTGATGCATCTTGTTCAGCAAGTTCTGACCCTGTAGATTTTCTGTCTAGCTTTGACGTTTTCCCTGTCTTTCCAGCAGGCCCTGGGATTTGTTCTTCCAGATTCCCAGTCTTAGCAACTATCTTATATCTGTGTTCCTCTCTCCTCCGTTTTTCTCCCTCCCTCCTTCTACTTAAAAGGACCAAGGTCTAAAGTCACTGTACAAGACAAATTCCAACAACACTCGTCATGCCTGACTTTCTCAGGGCAAAGCAGTCCACATGAGTGGGACCTCAACCACTGGCCTAAATATTTACTCACTCTGCCAACAGCACACAGTGGCAGTTGAGTGACCCATCTACAAGATATGCTGTGACAATTTGTCCCCGATCTTTCTCCAGCAGCTTTCAGACCTGCATCCTCTACCACATGGAAGAGAAGAGAAGCAGGTAACCAGAAATACCACCCGCACCGTCCTGACTTGGAAATATACCACTGATCCTCCACAGTCACTGGTCCACATCCTGGATTCTGCCCTGAGCAGCACCTTGGGTAGGCCTACACCATGAGGACTGCAGCAATTCAAGCTGTTGGCTACCAGCACCAACACCTCAAAGGACATTGGGAATGGGCAACATGGGCAACAGTAATTATCAGCAAGTTTCACATCCCATGGAACAAATAAACATATTTTTAAAAATTCATTCACGGGACGAGTGTTTCGCTGTCTAGGCAGCATCTATTGCCCAAAGAGCAGTTAAGATTCAACCACATTGCTGTGGGCCTGGAGTCACAAGTAGACCAGACCAGGTAGGATGGCAGTTTCCTTCCCTAAAGGGCATGAGTGAACCAGATGGGTTTTTCCGACAGTCAGCGGCAGATTCATTGTCAGTGTTAGACTACAAATTCCAAATTGTTTTTGTTGAATTCAAATTCCACCACCTGCCACAGCAGGATTTGAACCCAGATCCCCAGAACATTACCTGGGTCCCTGGATTCTTCATCATCATTGGCGGTCCCTCGCAGATGAGAATGACTCTTCCACTCTCAGAGTGAGTCTGTAGGTGGCTGTACTGTCCAATATAGCTACCTCAGGCTCTGTTACACTTGGGACAGGTGGTGGTTGCCGGAAGGCGTGGGTGGGGCATTGATGCAACAGCGTTCTCCTTTCGCTATTTTCACCTGGCTTCCATTTTTTCCCAATGGCAAGCCTCGAGGTACTCGACACCTTCCCAACCGCTGCTCCTCCAGCGATAATACCACTGTGATATGGTCATTCCTTAAATTGCAGCGTTACTGCTGCCCAGGTAACTTCACAGTTAAGGTTGAATTCAGACACTTCTGGTGTGTTGACCTGAGCCTATTACTTTAATTGCTGAGCCTCAGCAGTACTCAGCTACTTCAGGGCTGCTGGGCTTGGGTGTAAATTGAAGCCAACTTGAGTAGTATGTCCCCAGGGTGGCCTGGGGCAGCTGTGTTGTCTCAAGGATGAGTTTCTCTGTGAGAACTGGCAACTGCTGGGCCTGTAAATTGGTACAGCTGTTCTGATGGGAATGTTCTGTTTTTCTCTTCAGCATCCGTACCCAACAGAGGATGAAAAGAGACAGATAGCTGGACAAACCAGCCTCACGCTCTTACAGGTCAACAACTGGTAAGTGCTCTTTGAAATCTATGTGGAGAATCAGGACTGCTTGCTGAAGTACGTTTGGTTTATTGCTGTGATTTAATGAGCCTGTCTGATCTTTCAAGAGGAGCTAACTGACAGTAGAGTAACGAGCTACGGGAGCTCATGAGGGACAAATCCTGGCCGGTTACTCAAGCCTGCAGAAGTTTAGCAATCCCTACTGAGCCATCTGAGATCAGTTAATTCTGCACATACGCAATCAAGTAGAGGAACTTCCATTGTATGTTGGCTCGGGTTTCTGTACTTCAATTAGTAAATTTTAAAGAGCTCTGTTCTAGCTTCAGCGAAGGGAACAAGACTGCAATATGGAACCAACTCTACAACATGGCTGCAGGTTACTTAGCTTGTCGGATTATCCGTTGGAATTTTAACAGGGATTTTGCTCTCGTTTCTGTGATTGATATACTCCTATCTCCTCCATATCTTAAGACCCTTTATTAATAATTAGAAATAATTTTTAACGTGATAACTTGGGATACAGCCATGTACTTTAAATCTCGCATCTGCCACTGTGCTAACACTTGTACCAATTAAAATGGACACCTTTTGACTCAATTTTAAAATCCCTTCCTTAGCAACAGCTGCTGAACTATTTCTGGGAAATTAAGTATAATCTTCTGTCTCTGTGGTTTCACTAGAGTTCACACCCAGAAATATTGGGCATGGGGATAATGTGTTCAAAAGGCGAAAAAAGTCAAAGAACTGCTGATGCTGGTAAATCAGAGACAAAAGCAGGAATTGATGGAAAATCTCAGCGGCACTGGCAGCATCTGTGGAGAGGCAGCAGAGTTAATATTTCATGTTCGACCCATTCTGAAGAAGGGTCACAGGACCTGGAGCATTAACTCTGCTTTCTCTCCACTAATGCTGCCAGATTTGCTGAGTTCAAAAGGCAAGTTGCCCAATTTCAGTTGGTTTAAAAAACACTTCAAATCAGGATTGCAAAACTCAGCACGTTCCAAACCTGTGACCACTACCACCAAGAAGGGCAAGGACAGTGGACTTGTGGGAACCTGCAAGTTCCCCTCCAAGCCCCACTCACCATCCTGACTTAGAAATATATCGCCGTTCCCTCAGTGTCACTGGGGTTAGTGATCCTGTCTACAGCACATGGATTGCAGTGCTTCAAGAACAGAGCTCACCCCACCTTCTCGCGGGCAACTAGGGATGGGTAATAAACACTGCCACAGCCAGTTATGCCCACATTCCGTGAACAAATGGAAAAAATAAATAAACTGAAGCGTTTCTGACGAAGAAGTGATTTGGTCAATGCAGGGGAGCACAATCTTAAAAGTGGCACTGGCCCATTAAAGGTGAAGCCAGGAGAATGTTTTCCACACAAAGGGAAAGGAAATCTGTCAATCTTTTTGAAAGCTTGTGGCTCTTGAAGCTTTGAAGTGAGAGATTGGTGGGTTTTGTTGGATGATGCTATCGAGGGGGTCAGTGAAGCTTCTTAGCCAGCCGTGATTTGATTTGAAAGATGAAGCAGACTCGAGAGCTGAAATACCACCCGTTATTGTATTTCTGACGATGCAAAAATTGCAGACTATTCACACCCAAGCACCCAACCTGAAGTCCTTGAGGCAGTCACTCCCCACTGGCGCATGGGACAGACTGACTTCAGTTATCCAGTTCCTGGAGGTACTTTCCCAAGGCTTGCTCACTGGTAGTTATCGGTGCTGTTCCTCCCGTGACTGCTCCAATACTTGGGACATTACTCCATACCATTAACGATACACCCTCTCCTTAGACGTCACATCACCATGACAATGGCGCTGCCTGGCACAAACCATGCAAGGAGTTAACAGAAAGTGATTCTGCTCATAATGGATCATGAACCGTTTTGACAGAAAGCTTATTGAATGTGCTGCAGCCAACCTGGCTTTAAGGCGTCCAATACCGCCTGGGGTTAAAAGGAAAGTGACAGACAAAGCGAGCCTTGTGTAAGGGCCTGCTTACAGTTCAGCTGTTCACTCAGCAGAGAATCCAAGGCACAGCAGGCCCTATCCCTGTGGAAGAATTCAGCCATTATCCCTGCTTTTAGCCCTGGCTTTATGGTGAAGTGGAACAGATAGATCTAGGGAGGTGGGAGGGAAGCAGAAACAAAGGGACACTTTACGGTCAAATTAAGCTGAGCACTGTGGTTCACTCCTACCCACACAGTGCATTGAAAATGGTTGGCCCAGTGATAGCTTGCAACGGAAATAATCTCAGATCTCTCTTTTGAGAAAGAAAACTGTGCTGAGAGTGTTCTGCAGACGGACATTGTCCAGACCACAGGTATTTCAGAGGCTGCCCCAATCCAAGGATGTTCCTGCAGTAATTCCTGGGTTATCCCCAATCAAAGGTGACTGCATGTTGCTGGTACTCCTGGTTAGTGGGCTGTCCTCGCCCTGAATCATGGATATATTACTCATGCTTTAGTTTCCATTTGTTTTGGAGTCACAGTGGACACTGTAGTTGATGGTGTGTCTTATCAATCAGGAGGATGTTCAACTTGCAGGCTAGCTTGAACTGTCATGTCTCAAAATGTTTTGCTACTTGTGTATCATGAGGTTCTTTTTCACTGTTGCAGTCTCACACCTTGATGACCACCATTCACCTACACTCTCTCCCTCTTCACCACTATGTTCCCTCCCACATCTGCGCTGCCATCTCCCTCCCTGCCTGCACTCCTTCACCCCCCACCTCCGTCTTCACTCTCTCCACCCACCCACTGAGGCTTCACTCTCTCTTGCCTTACTGATTTCCATTTCTTGCTTTCACTCTCACTCTGTTTACAGTCACTCCTTCCTTCCCATACACATCACCCAGCCCCATTTTACTACCAATTTAAACAATTTTCCTGTTTACTATTCTTATATCCATTAGGTCGAGTCGCAGCAGCTGAGTTATTTGATATCGTGTTCCATTTGCAATCCACTCAACCTCCTTACCCATTATCACCTGAAGCCTGTGATATGTTCTAATCAAACCTGTTAAGCTGAAAAGCTAAAGGTCTCATCTGATGTATTGGAGAGCAGTGCATGTCACGGTTGAACAATTTGAGCATATTTCTTTTATCTCAACTCAGCTGTCCACCTTCAAAGTACTTTCCAGTCAAGCCCAAATAGCTGTGGGGAATTTCCTCAGATTAATCCCCAGTGCCGTATTTTAAACTAAAAGATGGCGCCTCAGTCAATGAAGTATGTTTGAATTGTAGTCACAATTGCAGTGCTGGAAACAGTGAAAACCATTGTATGCACAGCAGGATCCCACAAACTGAAATGCGACAATGACCAGTTTTAGCGATCCTGATTCGGGGAGTTAGGGCAGATGTGAGTTGCCTTTCACAAAACTAGCCAAGCCCCTCATCAACTTCTCCTTTTCCAAGTGCTCACTTCCTGTGTCCTCGAATGGACGAAGTAATCTTCCAATTACTGATTTTGAACTCACTGGTTAAATAGATGGCTTGTGTGCTGTCCATTTATATGAATTGAACTTGGTGTTTTCTGAAAGCTTTTCCAAAATTCAGGGAGTTTGGATGTTTGTAACCAAAGGTCTCATTTCCTTAATACCCAGCTGGAACTGTGATGGGGCTGGTGTCAATTTGATTATTTTATACTTCATAACATTTCTTTCTCTTTATTTCTCTCCTTCACTAATCTCCACCACGTCACACACACGGCTATTACATCCTTTTATTTCCCTGCATCCGCATCACACTGAACAGGGGAGATGTTTGCAGTGTCACATGAGCCCGTTTTGCATGGAGATGTCCATCACAGATTGTGGTGGGCTGCTCCAGTGAATTAAAAAGGCAATAGGTAGTGTTGTCAACTGTGATTGGGCATGTTCCTGGTTTAATCACATGACCTGAAGCCATGAGTCTCCCAACATGTCAACCTCATGCTGAAGCGCCTTCACTTACCAATTGGATAGTGAACAGGATCATGGCTTTTCTACTGGATAATATTTATTAATATAACAGCACTTGTTTGTCCACCTCCAGTGCTGTTTGTAGGGAACAACAGAACAGCTTTTACAATCAATCAGTAAGATGCCCACTATCCTAACACTCAATGATTTTTCTTCAATCCCTGGAGAACCAGGACAACTTGGGAGAGTTAGCAACCCAAAAAATAAGTGTGGGCCACTCAGCCCCTCAATCCTGTTCTGCCTTGGCTGTTACAGACTTGATTTCTCAGTGCCTTTATGCTTGTCTTGTGTGACTAAGTGTGTTATGCAGTAGGCTAGAAACGGTCCTTTCACCACTGCAAGCTGAAATCTGGTCGCAGATTGATGGGATCAAAGATTCCCTTGTCTTTTGGCAAAGCAGGTCTGAAGTTTAATGTGTTTGGACAGTCTGAACCCAGTTCCGTGCAGAATTGACACTGGAGCCACCAGTTTCTGAGCACGGTTGAGCTGAGAGTGCCAAATACCCTCCCCCCACTTCAATCATACTTGGCTTAATGAACATACTACGCAGCAGGATACAGCAAAGAGGGAGCTCAGTGTTTGAACAGGTTCCACTGGGCCACACTTTACAACAGAATTATTTGGCTCAGTGTTCTGTCTGGGATAATGTTGCTGCATATTTACCTCTCACTGTGGAAAGTTCACAGTGAGGGTAATCTGACACTAACTAGAATTACTTCAATGCTAGTGGTTTGTATTCTTAAACACAATGCATGCAACGTGATTATCACAATTAAAGCAATTTATGTTTAAAATAAAGCAGGTACAGCACTGATGTCACACTGCAGGATCAGTTGATATCTCTCATGATTACAGTAGATTTTACACCAGAAAAGCTGTGCTCATTACTGCCTTTTTTGATGCTTTGCAAGACTGCAGTGACCTGTGAAACACAAAACCCCAGAAATAGTTAACAATTTAGCCTGTGGATGCATTAAATGGTCCTCCACTGCATTATTTTTCTGTCTTGCAATTCTTTATTTCAATACCTTTACAGAGATAAACATTGT